TATCTCAGCAGTGGTTGATAGGTTGCATACTGTACAGGTGAGTGTATTAATTACCCAGTTCAACAGTGATCTTATTCCATTGCCTTAAGCTTTGCCGTTGCCATCAAGATGAACGTGCTACTCTTTGCACCGGCATTGTTCTTTATTCTTCTACTGAACATCGGCATTTTGAGGACAGCCCTGAATCTTTTCTGTTGTGCTGCTGTACAGGTTAGTATTCTGTTTAGTGTTTTGATTTTTCCTGGCCTTTTTTTTCTTTTTTCGTTTTTTCGAAGACCTTGCACTTTTTGACGGAAATCAAAGAGAATCCTGATTGTCCATTGAGATGTAGTACTAATATTGATATACTTGATATCATCAGTGCTTGCTTTTTTAAATTCCTCTTGAGCTGCAGCAAGTGAGGTTCTTTCGTATACAGGTATACCTCGGTCTTCCATTCCTCAAAGCTGACCCTATTTCCTATATACGGCGGTCTTTCGATCTTGGTCGAGTATTTCTCTTCAAGTGGACGGTGAACTGGCGTTTTCTTCCTGAAGAGGTAGTACCCGGCATTTCGTTTTTGTTTAACTACTAATGCGTTAAAGCTCGGAGGCGATTGCCTAGTCTGAAGATTGTTCTCATCGAATAAACATTTCAGCTCTTCCTGTCTCCTCGACTCCACTTGACACTGCTCTCATGTCACCTACTAGTTTTGGTGGTATTTGGATATTACATGTGGTTGAGGTGATTTTTACAGCTTTCATACAATAAATATTCTTTCTCACTCGGTTAGAGTCTTTTGGCTATTACATACTTTCTATACGTCTCTTTCCAGATCTCACGGAGGATTGCGATCCTCGCTCATCGGACTTTACCACGGTATACGAACGAAGATTGGAGTTGGAGGTAGTGATCATTGACAGCTTACATCCAGTGTGGAATCGCTGTTTCATTATGAATCTTACGTGTTTCAGAGACGTTGTTTGCGTTATTCTCTGCGAATTTGATTGGTATTACGTTTGCTCGCTCCCTGCACTACCAGTTTTACAGCTGGTATTACCATCAGTTGCCTTTCTTATTATTTTGGAACTCGCATGACAAAATAAGTGGCAAACAGGCTCTTGCGGTACCTTGGATGTCCATTATCATAAAGTAAGTTCGAGAATCTATGAAGTTATAGCTATTGAGCATCCTTAGCTGAAAAACTGAATGGATTAGTCAGCTCTGGAGTTGAAAGCGAGTTATTGCCGTGTAGCTACCTATCTTGTGACGGTCTTTGATAGGATCTTTTTCAGAGCAGCAGTTCTGATTGGGATAGAAATTTGTTGGAACGTTTATCCGTCAACAGTTCTATCATCGCTCTTCCTTCATATTTATCACTTTGGTATAATTGTGTACTTGATTGTGACCCGTATTGAGCGACAAAAGCTCAAGGAAAAATCTGCTTAAAAATGTAGTTGTTAGGTTTGTAGGCCAATTTTGGAAGATATGTTCAAAAGGGCTCGGTGATTTTTTCGTTAACGAAGGTCAATTCGAATGGAACTTTTCGTTATGATAAGTTACGGTTAAAATACGTCGATCGTCACGCATATTCTCCAATTGCTAGTGCTGATATCTAGTCTTTGAACTTTAAGAAGCCTTCATGCCACTTTTGGATGGTATTTGACCGATCATTTGTAGTGAAGCGGAAATTAGCTGGTTTTGACCGGGGCTGTTGCCTGATAGAAACTTCGGAATAGTAGGCTTCGTTGCTGAGTCCCTTGTCCATTTAAGTCCTAAAAGAAGGAACCTCATGGGATGCTTCAGCAATGTCGTGTGGGAGAATGAATGAAAATGATGAATGACTTACTGTTGACCAAGACACGGTGGAGAGTGCAACGGAGATCCATAGGAATCAAAGAGCGCTTTTGTTTCACAGCCAATCCTATTTTGACCCCATTTTTTGCCAACCCGTGAAAAAAGTTATTTGTATGATTGTCCTTCTTAGAACTGCCAAATCGTATCTTTCTGTAGGAAATTTCTAGTCCTATAATTTCACTTTTTTTTCTATCTTTTCCCCCTTCACTTATCTACTTGCTCCTGGTAAAACATTTTCTTGTTATATTGATAATTAGTGAATAGTTCGGTGTGCTGTGCCTCGATTTTTCTAACGTAGTCACTGAGAAAGGGTATCTCATTTGTTCTAGTGATTACATCGTTTCTATTTTAATATGTTATACAATCATTCAGGCTGTGATCGTTTAAGTAGTGATTTTTTGTGGTTATTTCGGGTTGCGTTGTTGGGTTAGCTTTAGTTCTACAACAGTGTTGGCAATATTCTTTTGTTTCTCCTTGATTATTAAGTTTGATAAAGGTGTTTTACGATATTCTAGTACCGTCGAAAATAAGGTTAATGACACCTGACTGCACAGTTATCTGCCCTCTGCTTGGATGTATCGCAATAATTCGAAAATTTTAATGACTTCATGAATTGAATGTTTTTGGTCTGTTCCCTTCCTTTTGAGAATTGGTTATTATGAGATTTTCTAAAATAGGTAGGGGGAGGGGTGGGACTCACTTTTTGATCAATTTTTTAGTCATGACTAAAGATCATACCGAACTTATTTCTAGCAGCTTAATTGAATCAACTTCTTTGGACTGTTATTTGTAAAAATGACTATGAAGCAAAGTTTTATTGTTTCAGCTCTGAAGTCGTATGGTTTTTCCTCGGCTTCTGCGTTGTATACCACATGCAAGTTCATCAGCGGCTCGTTTCATCACAGCTGAAGCCAGTGTGACCTCGGAAGCTCCTGCTAAGCATCAGGTCAGCTAACTAACTTAATATATTTTATTTTTTCGGAAGTGAAGTCGCTTTTGCAGGTCTTCGATCGGCAACTGAAAAGAAAACAGCGGAACTGGGCCGTTAGACAGCCGCAGTTTGAGGATGCACAATATCTCAAAGAAGAGATTGGCTGGAGAGTGGCAGATCGGGTATGTCGGGGGAGATAGGAAAAAGTAGAGTTTCCTGATGACACTCTCCGAAAGAACAGTTTTG